AGATTGCAAGAAGATCCAATCAGACGGGTTTACTGGAAAAAGAAGATTACATCAGACTTCTGCAAGCAAGAAATGTTTAAAATGTATAAGTGTGTTAATGTGATTTTTAACCCAATCATTATAGCAAAACATTACTACCCTCCCTAAAATACTATATAAGCAGTTGTACTTCACAATAAATTCAGATTTTTTGACCACCACACCGAGTCCCCATCTCTCTCTCTTCATTGCCAATAGACAGGTCCTTATTGGGCATCTTCCCACAGCACCCCTGGGACTGTGCAAAGTGCTGAAACACAGGAAGGGCCAGGGAGAGCCCTTCATTCTTCAGGACATCCCGAGCTCGGGGTGAGCCCAGTGCTGGCTACCAAGTCCTGCTACTAGAAAAACCCTAAGCTCCTGTTTCTTGGCAGCCCATTGATTGTCTGCATTGCCAGAGGTGTCTTTGGGGGTCCACGTGCACAGTTTCTGCTGGCTGGGGGGGTTTGCAGAAGCTACAGACACCACCAAGCTTCTCAAAGCAGCCAGGAGCTTTGGAAGAGGATGAATCCAGCCTCCCTGCGCTGCCAGCTGCACATCCCAGAGGGTTTGCCCTGTGCAAGCAGCACTGGAACAGGTTACCCCGACAGCCTCTGCCCCTGTCTGGCTGCCAGGCCCTCCAAGGGCTCTGGGCTCTGCAGAGCCAGAGGCAGATTTGCTGCTCTGCTCCTCACAGCTTGCCCAGGCTCTGCTTCCCTTCCGTCATTTCCAAACCTTCCTGGATTCTGCCATTCTCCCGCAGTGATCTGAGCTGAGGGATGCTAGCTTCTCTGCTGTGGCACAGAGCAAGGTGCTGTGAGCTCCTCTGGAGCAGCAACATGCTCTCCAGCCCTGCTAACAAAACCAAGGCATCCTGAAGCATCCCTGCTCTCTGCAGATCGCTCCCTGCAGCAAACCCAGCTGGCAGATTCCTGCCTTTCAGGAATGGGACTGGCCATGGGGGGCACAGCCACCTCCTGCCATGCCTGGGGCACTGTGGTGAAGCCAAGGAAGCAGAGATGAAGCCCTGAGCCAGCTGTCTGCCAGGGCACACCTGCATCGTGCCCTTGCTTCCCCAGGAAAGCTGCAGCTTCCTTTTGGCTTCTGCCTGGGCCCGTCACAGGAGAGCTGTGAAACCTGTATCAAAGCAGGAAGACTTCTCAGAAATGAGATCATTAAGACTAAAGCGCAGTGTGATTGGAAACGTAGATAGTCCTCATTTTCCAGTGGTTGTTTTCAGATTTCAGATTCCTTGTTGGCAGTGTGCTGTAACACATCCCAGCTCCTGTGCTGCTCATTTTAAACTGCTCAGAGCAAGCCCTTCCCTCTGGCCATTCCCTGCCAGCCTCAAACAAGACATGGGAGTAAAAGCAGATCTGCTCTTAGAGGTGAAAATTCTCTTCAAATTTAAGGAAACTGTGACCTTGAAGCAATGCAGTGGGAATGGGAGCCTGGACTGATTTCCCAGAGTTCAGGCATCCCTGCAAATCTCCCATGGTGACAATCAGGTCAGAAATCAGAGCATGAAAATACAAATGTCAAGCGAAAGGATACAATTTTTCATGCCTGGCTGAAACCAAGCACCCTGATCTCCCAGCACAGTTTTACTCCTGTAACTGGTGCAGATAATCTCACTTACAGGCAGATATCCATGGCAGGAGCTGAAAGCACCTTTAAAGGCTTACACAGTGTTGCCTATAATTTAGGGTCTAGTAAAAACATAAACATCTGTTGTTCAGTTCCTTAAATATTAAGCTGGCATGTGAAGCTTATTTATTTTTGTTCATTTTTTTTACTCTCTCTCTCCCACACACAGCAGGGATTTTGCTGCTTCTGCAAAAGGGGCCTGGGGGTCCCTGGGCAGCAGCACAAGCAGCTGGGAGCAGCCTGGGCCAGGAACAGGCACAGCACTGGGCATGGAAGGCAGCAGAGAGGCTCTGGGGCTTCTGCCCCTGCACCTCCCCTCCCTCCTGGCTTCCCAAACGAGCCCAGGTGCATCCACAGGACCATCCAGTTCTGACTTTCCCTCTTTGTGAAAAATCCCCCTTCCTGGAAGGATAATTTCGATCCAGACTGAAAAATTTTCGTATTATTTTCCCATGTTTTGTGGTTTCTGCAGGAGCAGGGCGCACAGGAAAGACAGCTCCTGACCTTTAGAGTTGTCACCCATCTGACAGGGAGGGTGAGAGCCCCTGCTGCCACCCTGTCCCTCTTCCATGCCACTGTGGTCCCTGGTGAGCAGTTCCCTTCACTGCAGAGGTCCCATTTGTCACTGCAGCCACCGAGGGCTCTGCTGAGCTCTGCTGCTGCCACCCACCCTGCTCCACATCCACAGCTTTGCTGAGGACAGGCAACTCTCCTGAGCCCAAATGCAACATTTCATGGGATGGCTGCATCGGTGGGAAGAGGATTTAATGTACAAACTTCCAGCCTGCAGTGCTGCTGCAGCTCCAGCAGAAATAAACGTTCTGTTGGCACTGGAGAGGGCAGAGGCAGCAGAGCTTGTCCCAGCTCTGGGAATCACTCTGACACATCAGACAGAACAGTCTTTGACAGGAAAACAGGTTTGCTTGCTGTTCCTTGCCCTTGGAGGAACTTTGGAGAGGAAGAGCCTCTCTTGCAGGCAGGACCTGCTCCAGCCCCAGCTGCTGTGAACACCTTGCAACAAGCAGCACCTCTAAAACAGTATTTTTAGCCGTAAAAGATGGAAAAACACTGAAGTCCTGTGAAATGCAGCCCTTGCCTGTGCTCAGGAGACTGGCCATGGTGGTGCAGGAGAAGCAGCTGTTCCCAGCACAGGGTGAGCTGGCTTTTGTGGGGAATGAAAGGCGTTCGTAACAGGACAATGGGCTGGGGGTGTATGAGGATTCATTTAAACATCTCCACTGATTTAATTTGCTTCTCCCTAAAGTCCCTGAGCAATAATAAGCTTAAATTAAAGTTTACATCTGCAAATGTGGCTCACAGAGTGATCTTTATCTAATTCCATCTTATCTTTCAGGTGCTCGCTGCATGAGGTGAGCCCAAGCCAGGTCTGGGAATACTGATGGAGCTGGAGCCAGCCTGGGGTGGCTCCCAGGGTGCAGGGACCCAGTGTGGAGGTGTTTAGGGGGTGAACGATCCCTTTGTGCTGGGAGAGTCCTTGCCTGTCACAGACTGGTCCCCAAGGGGGCTGCCATGCTCTCCAGTGTCTCCCACATCTCCGTGCCATGAGCAGCCAGTGCTGGTCCATCACTCGTGACTGAAGGCAGATTTCTTCACACAGGAGGAAAAACTCTGCCCTGGCACTTCCAGCTGCCTGACAGTGCTGCCCTGATGGTGTTTGGTACCAAATGTTCCACTGGCATAGCAATATTTAGAGCTACTATTCCTTATCTTGACAAAAAAAAATGCTCATGGCCTGTTGGAACCCTGGCTGCTGAGAATTTTAGATTTTCTGTGCTGACAGGCACTGACCCCCAGAGGACACTGCATTTGACCTGGGGCTGAGGAGAAGGCTTCCAAAATGGAATGACAGAACTGGGATTGTGGGTGTGGAGTTTGAATAGAAGTGTGTGATATCACAGGGTGGAAAACTCAGAGTTGAAGGGTTTAGAATGTAGTAATATCTATAAAGCAAGATGGAGGTTCTAGGGTGGAGGCTGCTACTTCTTCTCCATGAGTTTGGGTGGTTTTGTGTAATTGGACAGAAAAGTCCACATTGCAGGCACCAGTGTTTGGTTATTGGATTAAAAGTAAAAATAATTTAGGTGTCATTTCTTAATTGGACAGTTTGTCCTTAAAAGGCCTTCTAGAGAGAGAGATAAGGCAAAGGCTCCATTTTCAGTTTGTTAGAGTGAAGTTCTGTAGAACTCAGGGTTTGTGAGAGTGTAACATAAATAAGAACTAATAAACATCTGAGTCCCAACAAGAAATTCCATCTCACACATTTAATCCTGACCTCGGCAGAAAAGAAGTTAAGACTCAATGATGGTCATTTATGGACTGGCTTTGCTTTGTGTCCAGGTTTATCTGCCCCATGTCACAGGTCTGTCTTGCAGTTTGTATTTGTTAAGTTCCTGCTTTGGATCCTTGCCTGATCCCACCAGCAGCTTGGTTATATGTGACTATTTTCTTAGCAGCCTTTTTTGCAGGGTTCACTTTCCTGCTCTCAGAAGAGAAGCACTGATCTTCAGAAGTCACTGCTCCCACACTCTGCACTGACCATGCAGCTGCTGGACCTGCTGATAGTGCTCACCTCTCTCCACAGCATTCCTGCAGACTTAAATCCTAGGACCAATCTCATCAAGGTAGGTAAATCTTTCCTAGTTTTAATTAGGGGTAATTTGAAGTATCTAGAGTGCTCTGGCAAACTTCCCTACTCTGTGATGCTGTCATAGGAGCCTCTGATGCCTCAGGATTTCAGCTTTTCTATTTTTCAGATCCTGCACTGCATTAGTGCTTAACTCCACACTCCATACACAGTGTTAGTTACTGCCTTCACATTTTGGTCAGACAGAACAATTCCTCTGGGCCTGGAACCCAAGGACACCCTACAGCCTCAGGCCCCAAAAAGTACAAACAAAAGTGAATTGGGGGAGCAAGCTGGGGATAAATTACTTCATTAGCTGAAGCTGTAATTGGAGAATTAACCCCTGATGTGTAAATGGACCAAACTTGTAATTGTCTGAAAAACTGGTGCCCATTGTCCACCTTGGGTGCAACCTCTGGGAGGCTCTGGCTGCCCAAGGTGTGGCTGATGAAGACCTTTAATAAATACCCACTTTATTCTCTTGTCTAGCCTCTGTTCTAGGTAGCTCCTCCAGCTGTACACACCTGAGGATGACTTCCAAAGCCCTGCTAGGCTGGAGCCTGTCACAGGACAGCCACAGGAGAGGCTTTTCCAGGGGTGGCAGCACATCTGACAGCAGAGGAGTTCTAAAGGTGGAAAATGGGGATCATGGGCTTCTGCCTGCCAAAAGGCAGCTGAGGGATCAACTTACCTGTCTGACAGCACAGAACAGCTTCCCATAGGAATAGACAATAATGGCAAATGGGATTACGAGGCAAAAGATGAAAAGACAGATGATGTAGGAGGTGTTGTTGGCATCCTTGGAATGCCAGTTCACAGAGCAGGTTATCCCTGCTCCTTCTGGCCCATAGCTGCTCCAGCCAAGAAGAGGAGGAACAGTCCAGAGCAGGGAGTATGTCCAGGACAGGATGATGGCTGTCCATGCTTTCCTGTAGTTGGTGGTGTCAGGCTCTGCTGTCCTCGTCATGGTGCAGCAGCGCTCATACGAGAGCACAGCCAGGGAGATGAGAGAGATGATGCCTGTGTCAAACCAGACCACTGTATCAGCAAAAAATGAATGAGTGAAGGCTTTGCTCTGCCTCCCCCCAAAAAATATTTCAGGCTATGGATGAGACTGATGGCACTGGCTTTGGAAACAAGGTGGGCAAGGACTGGGACTGGAGGTGTCCCCCTGAGGGTGAGAAGTCCTGAGAGCCTGGCCCCACTCACCAAGAGCTGGGGGTGTTTAAACACGTGTCCAGCCAAAGCCAGTCAGTAATAAATGCTCATCAATACTTAAGCACACCTGTCTGAATGGATGTGTGTGTGTGTGTGACCTGCAGCAAAATCCTGCCTTTTCCTTCAGGTTTGATTCTTGCTGCACCTATAAAATTCAAGATTAATATCTAGACTTGCCCAAAGTGTGAAGCTGATCTGGTGCTTGTCTGCCAGCTCTGAAGTGCAGCCTTCTGAGCCCTTCTCAGGGAAGTGTAGCCCCACAGGGTTTCATAAGGATTTCATGCTGTGCATAATGAAGAGCTGTAGATTAAACCCATGTCCTGAAGCCCCCTGTGCCAGCAAGTGCCCCCCTTGGGGAGCAGGCGGCTCAGGAGCCTTTGCAGGGACAGTGCTGGGTCTCCTGCAATTGGGGTACTGCCAGCAGACACCAAGAGGGCAATAAAACCACCAGCAGCAAATCAAAGGCTTCTTTAGCATGCAGAAATGCTGGAGGGGAGGTAATTTCGAAAGCTGCTATAAGAGTTTTCAATTTCCCTCAACACACCTCCCAGGCTGCATTGCAGAAGCGATGCTGGCAGGTACAAGGGGATGTTGCTGGATGCTGACACACTCCTGCTAAACTTTCCTTGCCAAGTAAAGGTTTTACATGCACAAATTTGGCTTTTTACCCTGTGTAACTTCATGAGGGAAAGAGATGGCAGCAAACAGCTGCTGCAAATATCTCTTCAGAGTGTGCATAAGCAGTGTCAGTGTCTCCTAAGTGGCTGTGGGAAGCCTGGATGCCAGGGTAAGCTGTGTTCCTGGGATCCGAGGGATGCTCTGCTGGTAAAGCCTCTGCTCCATGTGAATGCTGGCTGGGGGAGAGCCCCACCGATGTGTGCCAGTGTCTGCAGTGGTACAGCAGGCTGGGAGAGATTGTCAGCACCGGGAAGCCTGAAAACACGAGCTGTTGTTCTGTATAACATGATTCACGTTGTACCTGCTGTCCCCACAGCCCCCTGTGCTACGCGGGGCTCTGCGTGCCCGGCTGGCAGCTGAGGACAGGGCTGGCTAAAGGTGCCCAGGGCTGCTCTTTTCTGCCGGCCTGTCCTCCCAGTGGGATCTGGGCTCAGGGCTGGAAGCCACCAGATTTCCAAGAAATCGTGGCTGTGGGGGCTCCGGGCTGCCCGCGCTGAGATGGGGCACTCAGGGACAGGGTTTAGTGGTGGGCTTGGCAGTGCTGCGGCAGTAATTAAACTCGATGAGCTTAAAGGTCTTGTCCAACCTAAACGAGGCTGATTCTACCCCGTTTTCATCCTTTGAAGTTTGTAAAGCTCTTCCTCAGCCGCTGGAAACACGCTGTGGAGCCTGAATGAGGACTCACACCTAACGCTGCCTGGGCTTTTTCGAGCAAAAAAAACCGCACCAAAACTGGGGAAGTTTGCCCCCAGCCCTGTGCTCCTGGCGTGCCCGGCGTCCCCTTCCCAGGAGCAGCCCGAGCTCCATCGCGCCCGCCGCGCCCCCGGACACGAACTCACCGCACCTGCGGGCTGGCCCTGCCCTCCCCTGTCCCCCCGGAGCTGCCGAGGCTGTCCCGTTTTCTCCCCGGAGTTGCCGAGGCTGTCCCATCCTCTGCTCGGAGGTGCCAGGGCTGTCCCGTCCCCTGTGTCCCCGGCGCTGCCGGGGCTGTCCCGTCCCCTCCCGGCGGGCACAGCCTCCTCTGGCGGTGCAGCCCCGCAGCCCCGTTCCCACTCACCGCAGAGGGCGGTGGCGAAGCCGTGCCAGGCGCAGGCGGCCCCCGGAGCGGCGGCGGCCCCCGCGGCCAGCCCGAGCGGCGTGCCCAGGGCGCAGCCCAGCAGGTCGCTGAGCGCGATGTTGAGCAGCAGCAGGTTGATGGGGGAGCGCAGCGCCGGGAAGCGCCAGAAGAGCAGCAGCACCAGCAGGTTGCTGCAGAAGCCCAGGCTGCCCACGGCGCCCAGGCACACGGCGGCCGCCAGCCGCCCCGCGGGGCCCAGGCACCGCTCCGCCTCGTCCCGGCCATCCGCGCAGGCGGCAGCGGCACCGGCCGCCGGTATCCCCGCGCTGGCTCCGCGCCCGCTCCGCGGCCAGAGCGGCGCAGGCTCCGCGCCCCGCCCCGCCCGGGCCGGCAGCGCCGCACCTGAGCGCAGGTGAGCGGCAGCGCCGAGCCCGCTCCCCCCGGAGCGCGCTGTGGAGCCAGGGGCGCTGCGGCAAAGCCGAGGGCAGCGGTAAATCCGGGCCGGAAGCCACCCGGGCTGTGTGCAGGCACCGCCTGAGCGAGGGGCGAGTCTCAGCTCGGCCCGCAGAGCTCTCAGAGTAAAGCTGAGAGGAGCACGGGCTAACCCAGGCTTTCCCAGAGTGCAGGGAAGGTGAAGCTTGAGCTGCCAGCCAGCTACACGGCAGTATTTCTTATCAGTTGAAGTTCCTTAAAATCTAAGTTCTGGTCATATCCCACCCTCCAGCAAGGGGGAGCGCTCTCAGACATTTTAATGTATTGATGCACTGACCTAAGAGGGGAAAAAACCCACCCCCGCTGTTCCACTCACAAGGGAATTTTTCTCTGTGTTTGCAAATAAAAAGTGAATTTGTCCAGTTTCCTGCAGCTTCGTTGCTAAGAGAATTAGTACGGAAAAGGAGAGTGTGAAGCCTGGTATCCCCCCTCTTTTTTCCCCTCCCTTTTTATCAGTTGTTCATTATGGGGAGGAGGCAGTTCAGAGTATTTCTGCTTATAATGACCTTCAAGATGGGTTTTTGGGGTTTTTTTTGTTTGTTTGTTTGTTTGTTTTGGGGTTTTTTGGGGATTTTTGGGGGGTTTTTTTTTTGTTTGTTTTTGTTTTTTTTTTAAAACAACCCCCCTGCACTTTGGGAAATCTGGCTGTTTCTTGCCTTCTCTCTGGGCTGCTAAGGGGATGGACAGGGTCCAGCATGATGCTGTTATTTATCAACATTTGTGAAGACTAAGAATGTAACTGGGCAGGGTAGCTCAAGAGGTCAGTCGCCTGAAACTTTGCACTTTAGGTAAAAAACAAGGACGGAAAAACAGACCCTTCACCAACTTTGCTGCACTGCTCTGGACATGCCCTTCAATGTCTTTCATGGAGCGAGGGGCCCAGAAGTGGACACAGGATTTGAGGTGCATCCATCCAGGTAGTTTTTAATGCAGCGAAGAATGTGCCTGTCCAAGCTGTGGGCTGTCAGTTTTTCCAGGAGAATGCTGTGGGATGTTTCAGACCATTTACTGAAAATGTGTCAAGAAGTCTTTTTGATAATGCAAAATTGGTTTGATCACTTGGAAAATCGTATCACTTACTATTTGTTGTGGTGGCAGAAGGACTTGCCAACTCATTTGGGGGAAAGGTACTACGGTGCAGCACGTCTGTCTCCTTGATCACCTGGGAACTTGGCTGGAATTGCACAGCTGCTGGTGAAACTGGTTTCTCCTGTGGAAAAAAAAAAAAAATAGGATAGGAATTGCCTAAACCCAAATGTGGAATCCGAAGCGATTTAGTTACGTTTCCCTCAATTTTAGCGACGGCCACAAGATGGCACAGGGCCACTCCGAGTAGGATGGGACTTGGATCCCTGGGGAAAAGGGTTTTCCAAGGCGCCTGGAGCAATGGCTGGGCTGAGCGCTGGAAATGAGCCGCGGGCACACGATGCCCGTGAGCCGTGCCCTCAAGCCGCGTGTGCGACAGCCGGACCGAGGGTGACTGTGGTGTTGGTGAGGGTCCCAGGACGAGGGAGGAGATGAATCTGACTCCATGTTCTCAGAAGGCTGATATATTTATATGATACGATATCATATTATAGCTATACTAAGACTATACTAAAGAAAAAGGATACATCAGAAGGCTTAAGAAGAATGAATAATAAAAACCCGTGACTGACTCCTCAGAGTCCAACACAGCTGGCTGTGATTGGTCATTAAGAAAACACAATTCACATGGAACCAATCAAACAATCACCTACCACATTTCAAAGCAGCAAAACAGGAGAAGCAAATCAGATAATATTGTTTTTCATTCTTTTCTGAGGCTTCTCAGCTTCCCAGGAGAAGAAATCCTGGCAAAGGGATTTTTCAGAAATTATCACAATGACAGGTGACCCGCACCCGTGTGGCCTTGGGCAGAGCTGCCAGAGCAGCTCGGTGCCGGGGCTCCGGCAGGAGCTGATCTCCAGATAAACACACGCCCTGTCCAAGCAGCTCCCGCCGGGATGGGAGAATTCTCCGCCGGGCTGGGTGAATTCCCTGCCGGGATGAGTGAATTCTCCGCCGGGATGAGCGAATTCCCTGCCGGGCTGGGTGAATTCGCCGGGCTGGGAGCTGCCCGTGCTGGCCGGGGCTGTCCTGGGACGGGGCAGGCTGGCGGGCCGCCGCACGGGCGGTGGCCGGGCTCTGCGCGGAGCCCGGGCGGGATGCCGCGCACAGGAGGTGGCGTTCCTGGCAGCGGCAGCGCTGAACGCGGTGTCCGCAGCGGGACCCGCCGCCGGCTTTGCTGCTGTGCCTCCCTGCTGGCTATCGAGTGTCAGCGTCCAGCCAGCATCCCAACTCATTTCCCGCACAAGTATTTCGATAGTGGCTGGAAAGGGGCAGGAAAGCGACACGGATAATTCCCTCTGGCTCGCAGCATTCTGTGGGTTGTGCTGTCCTGTAAATCCCTTGTCCTGATGTGGAAATCCCACCAGCCACAGCCACCAATGGCACTGAAGTCAACAGTGTTGTGGCAAATTATCTTTACTCTCTTACTAATGATAAGAGAAGTAATAATCCTCCTGCAGGACTAATTACAGCCACAGAAATCGTAGTAATGAAAAGAACTCCCTTTGCCAACATTTGAAAAGTTACAATTTACATTAACTAAGAGGCTTGTGTAAATAATTATTATTTTTTTGTACATGGCTCTCTGTGGCCCCATCTACTCTGACCTCAGTAAATCAGGGTGTAATTAATCACAGAGGATTAAATGTTGCAGGACAAAGACTGGAAAATTCTGTAGAAGCAAAACTCTGGTTGGTTTTGACTCAAAATAAGCTTGGGTTATCTGTCCCAAAGGACGTGACAGCTCTGCTTCCCACTGCCAGTTCCTCTTGCTGCTCTCAGAAATCAGTATAATTCTTGTTTCAAGTTTTGGGGTTGTGTTTTTTATTTCTTAAAGATTAAAAAAAGAAAGAAAAAAAATTAAAAAAAAAAAGAGAGATCTTTATAAATCATCACATCCTTGTAGGGCTGTAAGCCCCAGAGTGTCTCAGAGATGTACTGGCCCTGAGCTGCAGGCTTGGGTCTCCCAGCTTGGATCACACTGCTGACACGGGGATACAGCTCTTTCTGTTCTTCTTGTGGTGTTTCTTAGTGCAGATCCGTGGTCTGTGCTCCTCTCCAGCCTTTCAGCTTCCCCAAAAGATGGGGTGTGATGGAGCAGGTGAGCACAGCACTGTGGTCCTTGTGGAGCCAGGAGACCTGCGGGGTAACACGGTCCTCCATGCCAGGGGAGAGGTCTGTGTGTCTCAGAGAACCTGGAAATTAAATATAATGAACATTAAAAAAGATTTTAATTTAGCACTGGGGGCAAATAGACACCAAAAAGGCCAAGAAAAAGCAATATAAATGTATTGCTTGGGATGCTGAAGTCAGTAATGTCTGTGTTTCTGGTACAGAAACAGGGTGTTCCCTGTGTGAAAGTCTCCAGAGGAATAAGGGAAGGGCTCGTTGGAGTCCTCACTGGCCTCTTCCCTCTCCCTGTGGCTCAGGCAGTGGGTGCGTGGCAAATAAAGCTCCTGGAGCAGAGCTCAAAGGCTACAGAGGTGCTGTGAAGTAGAGCCTCTGCTCACAGCAGAAAAGGAAAACAAGAAAAACAAACAAACAAACAAAAAAAAAAAAAAAACCAGGAGAAAATAAGATTTAACTCTTTTAACCTTCAAGACAACAACAATTCTGAAAAGATGTGTCAGTGACCAATCTCCTAGGATACATTTCTCACAGCAGGAGCTGTGAGGCACAAGCATACCAGCACTACTTGCCCTATGCTGAATCACAAAAAAGGCTGTCAAAGAAGAAGGTAGATAATAAGCTCTGGAAGCGAGGAAAAAGCTTGATGGCTTTTTCTCATCTCTCTTTTCAAGGCCTATTAAGGCTAATGGGATGTGCTAACAGCCAGAGAGGTTCTCTGCACTTTAACAGACATTCCCAGAAATTTTCTCTTCTTTTCTTTTCTTTTCTTCCAGAACTGGGCAAGAGCAAATACAGGGGGAGTCTCTCAGCCATCAGAAGCTGCCCTGCTGCCACAGCTGTGGGTGCCCTGGTGCCCTGAGAAAGCACAGCTGGCTCCTGGACACTGCCTGGGAGTGATTCCCTAAAAAACCTCCCAGCTGCCAGCTACCCAAGGTTTAGCAGGTTACCAGTCCCCCACTCACCTCTCTGCACTCCTGACTCCAAAACTCAGGTGAACAAGCTGAGCCTGGTGTCAGCTGCCCCTGTCCCCTCTGAAGGGTGCACAAGTGCCACAGCAAAGGCCATGAGGGAGGGGATGAACAACCAGGGTGTCCTGGGGCGTTCAGCCGCACACAGCCAGACCCCCAGAATAATTCTGGACCTCCTGGATTATTCAGCTTTGTTTTGCCCAGCTGCAAGTACTTAAAATGTCCTCAGCAGCTCTGGGTAAGTGATGTCCCAGTCCCAGGTCCCTGCTGCACCGTGGGTCCTGCTGCCACCAGAGCAGCCTGAATTTGAGACGCCACCCTCACTGCTCTCTAAATAATCAGCTCAAATGGTCGAAATAGAAGCCTGAATTATGCCACAGCTTGGTGTAATTCCCACCTGATTCTTGTGGTATTGAGGGGCCATCTGCCAAACAGACCTTAACACCACAAATAAACCCATTTCCTCTCTTTGGCTGCATTAAAAATAATTTGAGCATCAGTTTTCCCAGCCAAATTTAACACTGGTGTCAGCAAAGCACTCTAACTGAAGGTACCAAAGCCGAGGTTCAGCAGGGACCCAGCCCAGCAGACACAGCACTGCTCACAGGGGGCTGCTTGGGCTGTGTTCTGACTTACCTTGGTGATGCCAGTGTCTTCAGAACTGGCAATTTCAAACCCCAAGTTCTTTCAGGAAGGAATTACTTTTACTACATAGGTGGAGCACCTAAAAGCAGCCTGGACCATGTTTAGGACTTGAGGTGCTCCTGCACTGGAACAGGGATGCCTCTTTCCCAGGGATGGGATCTTTCTCTGGATGGAGGCTTGAGGCTGTGAGAGCTGCAAGTGCTCAAATGTCAAGAGGAAATATCACTGTCACGAAGATCTGCCCACACAGCGTGGGGCTAATCTGAATTTTGGAGTGCAAACTCTTGCACTTCTGAACTGTCTTATCTGGAAATGATGCTACAAAGTTTAAAAATGACCTTTAGACACCTAGTTCAGACACCATTTCCCCCGGACTATAACATTCTGGTCACCTCGGGTGTTATAGCATCCAGCAGGGTGATAAGAAAAATAGTATTAAGTCCTGGCAGAGCCACTGCAAATTGGCTGTGAGAAAAATGGAGGTTGATCTCTTTTTAGAGGAAAAGCAACACAGTGACCTGCAATCAGGAAAGCAAATCAAGCAGAGATTTCCTGAGATAAAAGGCTTACAGTGAAATTGATGTAACTGAATGGAAGAGAAAGGAGAAACCATGACTGGTTTCATTAAACACGTAAGCAAGGTGAGCAAATCATTTCTTCCTTGCTCCCTGTTTCTTTCCCTGCGAGGACATGGCTTTGCTTGGAATTACTGGTCCTGGGTATTTCTATTTAAGGATCTACATCTGTCTGGCTGATAAATTGTCACTGAGGGTTTATGTTGGTGTGAGAGGGAGCAGAACACAGCCATGGGGCAGCAGCTCACAGAGGTGTGGGTGTGAGGGCAGGAAGGCTTGGGCAGAGTGGGTGCCGGAGGTGCCTGGCCCAGCTCCCCATCCTGCTGTGCCCAGAGCCCCCCTCTATCCTCACCCCAGCTTGTTCACTGCTCCAGCCCCTCAGCACAGGGGACAGGAAGGAAATTCCCCCTGTGTGCTGGTGGGGATCCCTGAACACACACAGGGCTGAGGTGGGTAGCTG